GTTTATAAAGGCCAAGCCCTGCCCCCTGGCGGTCAGCTGATCCACTCTGTTGCCTAAGCAACCTTCAGCTGTGCTGCCCTACTGATTGGCAGCCAAGCCTTATTGCCTATGCTAGCAGCAGGCACCCTAGTGTCCTGCTACACACCTTCCCCCCCCCGGCGGTTGAGCCTCTTTAGGAGCAGGGTGCGGAAGTGCTCCGCGACACATAACTCAAAGCATCCTGACTTAGAAAGTCTACATGCTTTAGGTCTGCAGCAAAATATAAACTGTTTTTCCTGATTTCAGATTTCATATCTTATTTTAGCAACTGCTTATTTTCTGTTGAAAAACATGTCTGACACAAAATGCCCATTTTGAATAAGTCTATGTTAGATCAAATATTTTCTTTTGGTGAATAACTAAAAATATGTATTATTTCTGATCAGTGAAAACTGAAAAAGGGGCTGATTAGGCAAAAACTAGATTCTACTGAAAAATTTTGCTTGACAAGTGTTGCCACCTTCCAGTTTAAATGCATAAGATGACAGGAATCAGTTTAAAAAACTGTAAATCCTCCAGTGGCGTGACAAACAAAACAGTATTTAAAGATGAAATATAGCCTTGTCATGGAAAGTTTCTTACCTTACAGGTCAGAAAAAGGTGAACCAAAGCGTAGCAAGAAGGGTTCAAGAAACGTCTCTCTTTCTTCCTCTCTCACAGGCCTGGTGAGGAGGTTACAAGGTTGAATTCCTCTTTCCAAGTCCATAGGCTGAGGAAAGAGTAGCTAGCAAATAGTTCTTATTTTATTTTATTTGCTCCAGGAGCCAAATCAAGAGAATCATTCACCATTTTTTCTTTAAGTTCAAGAAAGGCAGAACATTTTAGCCACCTTTCTTATTTTGGGTGTCTTATTAGGAACCCTGAAATAAAGAAAAGAAAATCTTGGGTAGAGGAAACAATGGATGGGCCGTCCGTGAGAATTCCTTCTCTCTTCTCCCCTTTTGGAGCTCAGGGGAGTAAATTGGGTGTGTATCATGTTCTCATCCTCCCCACAATGTAGAGGTGGGGCGAGGAAATCATGGAAGGGAGGGTTTCCATTTTCTGCAGTGAAGAAATCTTGTGGGACTAGATTTTTCTTTCATTTCTGGAGATATAGATGTTTTTCCCTACAATCCTGACCCTAGGGACTGTAAGGGTTCCCCTTCAATTCTAGTATGATATTTTTTCTGTTCCTTGTATTCCATAAGGACCAGGGACTCTCCCTCCCCCAGATAGTGAGAGAGTGGTTTTTCACATCCTCCTTCCTTGCTCCCATTGCCTAATGGAAACTAGTCTTTCTCTTCCTTTTATTTCTAGATCGTCTTCAGCAGCTTTATAGTGCCCCTTAATGTCACTTGTCAACTTTGGAGAGCCTATGGCAATTAATTTTCCTCTCCTTCTGTCATCCTCAGTGAATGCTTATCAAACATCACAAGTCAGGGGGTTATGTTGCCCCTGCTGCTGGTATTAATTAGTTTGATTAGGCAAATGCACACACTTTTATGGTTTTCCAGGCTCCAGTAGTGAATTGAGCTAGAGAAGCTAACCTCAGTGCCTCACCAGCTATGTAGAGTTTTTGATCTACTTTGATCTATCCGTTTCTTCTACTCTTCCTCCTTCTTCCCACTCCTCTCTCACACCCTTCAGTCTTTATCCCCACCCTAGCACCTTCATTTCCACTGCTCCAGTGTCTACTCTCATGTTTCTAGCCAGCTGGCAGAATGTGAGAAAGCTTTCTTCCACAGAAAGCTATAATGAAGAAAATATAAAACAATTAAGAAAACAAAAGAATGGGAGACATGGCAATGCTGGTGTTTTAAGTAATCAAGGGCCCAATTATATTCCAAATGCAACTAAGAAGACTAGCCTCATTTTGTTTCAAGGCTGTTTCGAAGCCTTTCATTTTGTTTCGATTTTGCTGTTTTGAGCTCGAAATGAATTGAAACCGTGTCAAAATGAAACAGCTGGCCCTCTTAAGTACCACCAGCAAATTTTTCAGTTCAATCTTAAGTACCTCTAGCAAATGTTGTCATATAATTATAATAAATCTGTTAACGTGTACCACTGAGGTTGTCTGCATACCACTGATGACACCCATACCACAGATTGGGACCCGCCAGTGTAGGGCATACCATGGCGTTCCTGTTCCTTAACCCTAAGGCCCTGACAAACAGGGAAGGGCTTCTCTGCTCCTATCACTGCAGGGGTCTCTGCATGATCAAGTGCAAGGGGGATATAGCTTTCCCTTGCTTTATGTGAGTTCTGTATGTGCGAATTCACTTACGCGATGACCCCTTTCATACCAAAAATTTGTTATATGAGAGGTAAATTCACTCTTATGAGATGGGTGTGGTGGAAGCTGGCAATCAGCTGCTTTGTGTGGTGCATTGTGGGAATGATATGTGCCAAAATATAGTCTCCTGTGTGGATGTGTGCTCCTTCCTCATTGTCTGCGACGTGTTTCTGTAGTTGCCATCCCCACTGTGGCTTCTAAGCGTCCCGCTAGCTTATCTCCTACCCCTCTCTCTGGTCCCTCAATGAAGCGCAAGAAATCTTCACTAACACTGGAGACAAAACTGGAGACCCTTCACCACCCCTCTTCACACCAACTAAACATTCACCACCACCCTGTGCTTGTGTGCACTGCCTGTTGTTGGTGAGTACCAAAATTGTCTTGTAAAAGTGGTAGAAATGGGTCTGGGCGTCGGTATGGTCAAGATCTTGGAACATATCCCTATTTGTTACACTGCAAAGTGGGGTCCCTTTATGCGAATTCGAGTTACGCACCATTTTTGAGGACCGCGTGTACAGCATAAAGTAAGGGGAACCTGTAGCCTGCAGAGCAAAGAAGGGTTCACAGAGGCTCTTTAGGGTCTGTTGCTTTTGACAATAAGCTGGTGATGGCACTGGCAATGTATAAGACACAAGAGGCAAGGAAATCATGAGAGACGCAAGGAGAGTTGCTGCTGTGAGAGGGGTGGGTGGCATGAGGGCCCACAGCATGGCAGGGTGCAACCAGCAAGCAGGACCAGACACGGGCATGGGCGAATAGGGTGGCCATCGAGGTACCTCAAGACAGTGGGGCGGCTGGGAGCTCCTGCAGGCAGCGGTGGCGGCAGTGGCAGGGACATGGCAGTGGTGAGAGGGGAGCTCCTGCCGGTGGCCATGGCGGTGTTGGTGGTGGGTGCCGAGAGCTGAAAAAGAGGACATCAAGGCGTTCGCTAGAGGACAGAGGACCAGAAAACTGGACTGTCCTCTATAAAACCCAACGAATGGCCACCCTATGGGTGAACCAGGTGGCCACCTGAGTCCCGGACTGAGGGGGGGCTGAAAACGGCAATTTTAAAATTATTATTAGTATGATTATCTCTGGCGAAGGGCAGGGGGGCGATACTAGAAGTTTGCCCAGGGCTGCCAGGAGTCTAGGTAGAAGCCTACAGGGATTGCTTTGCAGGTGCCCTCCTGCCACGAACGGTGCGTGCCCCCGGTGGTGGTGGTAAGTGGGGGAGCTCTTGCAGACACCGTCGGTGCGGTCAGCAGTGGTGGGGAGAGGGTGGCGAGCGTTGACCGAGGGTCGGTGACCACCCGTCGCGGGAATCTTGGAACGCAGCGGGGTGGTGAGCAGTGACTGACACCGTGGGTGGCACCGTTTTGC